AATATTTCATATATTTTTTTTTACCAATTTAGTAATATTCAATTCAACATTACTGTTATTATTTAATTTATAAAAGTTTCATTTTATAGTTATTAGAGAAATAGTATTAATAAATACACCATATATTATGAATAGTAATAAAAATGAGTAAATTACTATTAATAATAATATTATTATTATCATTTAAATACAATGAATATATATTTGTTTGTTAAAATTTGTATAAAAATGTGTTAGTAGAACATACTCTATATATGTCATATAGAACCTATTTATGTAATTTTACTTTATTTTAATAACTGATCCAGTTCATATTTTATCCATTTAGCAATATTTCATATTTTGAAGTTATTTTTAGTGCTTAATTAAAATAATTGTATAATTTTTTTTTATTTCTAAAAATAAATCATTTTTAGTTATTACCGAAATAGTGTGTGTGTGTGTGTGTGTGTGTAGTAAATAGTATTAAATAAAGTAAATACAATATTTTTTATAATTAATAATAATAATAATACCATCATTTAAATATAAAGGATATATATTTGTATAATAACATTTGTATATAATAGAACATTCAATATAGAAAACACAGAACTTTATAAATATATAAAGCACATATAATTTAACGTTAATAATGTTATCCAATTAGTAATATTACAACTTTTAACCAATTTGTTAATATATTTAATTTAGAATAGTGGTATTCTATGTAATGTTATGATTATTAAAGACATATAAATGTATACATACATATCATACATAATAAATAATATTTACTTTAGTACTACAGTATAATAAAATAATAAATAATTACAATTAAAACTTTTTAAATAATATTTTAAATGAAAATTAAAATAATTCTAAACTTTAAATGTTATCAATATTTTTCTTATTTTTATCAATTAATGTTTATTTAAATAATTATTTTATTCATAATTTTATAACAAAAATAATATTTGAAAATACATCATATATAATAGTATTACTAAATAAATTATAGTATTATTATTAACATGATTTGAATATAATACAAGTTTCTATATTTTAGAACTACACAATTGAATTTCATTAACTTCATTTTCAATTTATTTATGTTTGTTATCTTGTTTGTTTCCCCCAGATGTGAACGAGTGTCAGCTCAGTGATAACCTGTGTAGGAACGGTCAGTGTGTAAACATGGTGGGCACCTATCAGTGCTCCTGTGACATGGGATACCAGGTGACGCCCGACAGACAGGGCTGCGTGGGTGAGCAAACCTCCAGCAACATCAACATGCATGAAGCAATTCATTCTCAGAAACACTGCATCCAAAACTCAATATAAAGGTAAATGTGCATGTTCTCATCTTCACAGATATCGACGAGTGCACCATCATGAACGGCGGCTGCGATACACACTGTACGAACTCTGAGGGCAGTTACGAATGCAGCTGCAGCGAGGGTTACGCGCTCATGCCCGACCTCAGGACCTGCGCCGGTAACACGCACACACACACACACACACACACACACACACACACACGCACGCATGAACGCACACACACATTCACTCACTCACACACACGCAGTCACGGTGCCTCTCAGACTGACCCTCGTCTCTTCCCGTAGACATCGACGAGTGTGAAGACACACCAGACATCTGCGATGGCGGTCAGTGTACGAACATCCCCGGAGAATATCGCTGCCTCTGCTACGATGGCTTCATGGCCTCCATGGACATGCGCACCTGCATCGGTGAGTTAATACGAAACTCAACTGACCTATGCATTTGTGTTTCTATTACTTTTAAATAAAAAACAATCAAATTATTTACTTTTAAATAATTTAACATTATTTCATTCAATGGTTAGTAACCTTGATTTATTTCATGAATTCATTTTTAAATTTATTTTATTTGTTTGTGTAATTTAAGTAATGAAAATAAATAGTTATTTAGTTCAATTAAATCATTTTACATTATTTCATTTAATTCTTAGTAACCTTGATTTATTTTATGTTTGTTTGTGTAATTTAAAGAATTAAAATAAGCAATAATTTAATTTTAATTAAATATTTTTACATTACATTCATGCTTAGTAACCTTGATTTATTCAATGATTTTTTTTAATTAAATGTTTTAATTTTTAATTTACTTTTAGTTTACTTTTATTTCAATAATAAAAATAATAATGCTTTACTTTGAATTAAAGTTTACATTATTAAATTCGAAGGTATGGTAACCTTGATTTGTTTTATTAATTATTATTATTATTAATTTTATTTTTTTTACTTTTAAATAATAAAAATAATTACTTTTAATTAAATAATTTTAATGTTTACTAACCCTGATTTATTTTATATATTTTTAATGAATTATTCAATTTGTTTGTCATATTATTTTTAAAAAATTTAGTTTGTATTATTTCCTTTTTTTATATTTCTTGTAATTTATCAAGAATGTACTTTTTACTTAATTTGATATTATTTAACTTGAATGTCTAGTAACCTTGATTTATTCAATGATTTTTTAAATTAAATGTTTTAATTTTTAATTTACTTTTAGTTTACTTTTATTTCAATAATAAAAATAGTAATGCTTTACTTTGAATTAAAGTTTACATTATTAAATTCGAAGGTATGGTAACCTTGATTTGTTTTATTAATTATTATTATTATTATTAATTTAATTTTTTTTACTTTTAAATAATCAAAATAAATAAAAAATAATAATTAACTTTTAATTAAACAATTAAATAATTTTAATGTTTAGTAACCCTGATTTATTTTATAATTTTTTATAAATTATTAATTCAGTCTGTTTGTCATTTCATTTATTTGTATGTTGGATCTTTCTTGAAATTTACTTTGTCATTATTAAATTTGTCATTATTTAATTTTAATGTGTTGGAACCTTGATTTATTTGATTAATTATTTTACTTATTTGATTTTAAATAATAAAATAATGATTTAATTTTAGCTAAATAAGTTTGCATTATTTAATGTTATCTTAATTTTAATCGAAGTAACCTAAAATAAGCTTGATTTTTTTATTTTATTGAATTTTTGTATGAATTATTTTATTGCATTTTTATTTATTTGCATTTTTCCTTTGTATATTTTTATTCTTACGTTTAGTCATGATATTGTAATGTTTTATTTATTTATTTGTATGTCTGTATTACGTCCTAATTTGATCTTTCCTGTCATGTATTCGTCCAGATGTCAACGAATGTGATCTGAATCCCAACATCTGTCTGCACGGCGACTGTGAAAACACGAAAGGCTCTTTCATCTGCCACTGTCAGCTGGGATACTTCGTCAAGAAGGGCTCCACCGGATGCACAGGTACGACAGAGTCAGAGAAAAACCAGATCAGAGCAGATCGAGGAGTTCAGGCCGGTTCTGGATCATGCTAGCTGGTGTAAAGTGTTTGTATTTTGGCAGACGTCGATGAGTGTGAGATCGGCGCTCATAACTGCGACATGCACGCCGCCTGCGTCAACGTCCTGGGGAGCTTCAAGTGCCGCTGCCGCGACGGCTGGGAGGGCGACGGGATCAAGTGCGTCGGTGAGTGACGAGCGCCGCTGATCTCCAGGTGAGCGTTAGAGTCTGGCTGTGGTTTGAGGCTGTGTTTGCGTCGCTGCAGATGTGGACGAGTGCGTGACTGAAGAACACAACTGTAACCCGAACGCAGAGTGCATGAACACGCCGGGATCGTACCGCTGCTCCTGTAAAGAGGGATTCAACGGCGACGGATTCACCTGCTCCGGTATCACACATAGCAACTGCATTGGGCTTTTCCTTTCTTCTTTTATTTTATGAAGTTATTTTATTTGTGTGTTTGTGCAATTTACTTTTAATTTAAACTTTAAATTCAATAATAAAAATCATCTTTACTTATAAAGTAATCTAATAAAGTAATCTTTACCAATAAGTAATCTTTTATTCTTGGTTGTTTGTGCAGACATGGACGAGTGTGCGGATAACGTGAATCTGTGTGAGAACGGTCAGTGTCTGAACGCACCGGGAGGATATCGCTGCGAGTGTGAGATGGGCTTCACCCCGACTGAAGACAGCAAGGCCTGCCAGGGTAAACACACACACACACACACACATACTTGTATTTGTGGTTTACGGGGACTCTCCATAGGCGTAATGGTTTTTATACTGTACAAACTGTATTTTCTATTGCCCTACACCTACCCTACCCCTAAACCTACCCCTCACAGGAAACTGCTGGCCAGAAACACACACACACACACACACACACACACACACACACACAGACAGACACAGAGGTACAGTAATACACACACACACACAGAGGTACAGTAACACACACACACACACTCACTCAGTCCGCTCTGTGTCGTCCGTCAGACATCGACGAGTGTAACTTCCAGAACATCTGTGTGTTCGGATCGTGTCAGAACCTGCCGGGAATGTTTCGCTGTGTTTGTGACTACGGATACGAGCTGGACCGCAGCGGAGGAAACTGCACAGGTGACACACACACACACACACACACACACCTCAGTTTTGAGCGTCATGTTCACAAATCACAAAAGCTTTTATAAGATAGTATTTGTTTGTGAATTCGTTTATTTGTTTGTGTAATTTACACAAAATAATTCTATATTAATATTTAAATTAAATATTTATATGAAATTTATATTCATATTTTAAGCATTTATATTTTTTATAGAACTTTTCATTAATTTTGCATGATTTAATAATTTTTAATAAAGAAAAGCAGATATATATAACATTTCAGAAAAAATCTAAAAAACAGACTAAATGCGAGCGTAGCCTTGATTTTGAGCATTTTTATGTTTTATGTTTTTGTAAGATTGTATGTTTGTGAATTTTACTTTACTTTTGTGTGTAATTTAGTTTTATTTATATACTAATTAACTCATAATTAAGTAATTTTATATCGATAATTATATTAAATAATTGTATCACATTTATATTAATATTTGAATAGTTACATTTATTTAATTTCAATTAATTGTACATTTATTGTATTTTAAGATTTATGAATATTTTTTCAATATTTTGTTTAATCACATATAAACACATCACAATCACAATATATATCACATATAAAGATTTGAATAATGAAAATTTATTTACTTTTAATTAATTTGACATTTATTGTATTTTACTTATTTTGTGTAATTAGCTTTTAATTAAATAACGTGTAACTTTTAATTAAATAATTTTATATTAATATTTAATTAAACATCTATATAGAAAATTAAATATTTAAATCACATATTAATATTTGAATAATTTTGCATTTATTTACTTTAAATTCATTTTACATTTATTGTATTTTACTTATTTTGTGTAATTTACTTTTAATTAAATATTGTGTAACTTTTAATTAAATAATCTTATATTAATAGTTAATTAAACATTTATATATATATATATATATTATCTGTTTGTGTAATTTCCTTTTAATGCATTCATTTTATATTTGTTTTAAGTTAAGTTTAGTAACCTTGATTGATGAATTTATCTGAATTTAATTATTTTATTTGTCATTTGAATAAAAATAACTTTGTCAAATAATTTTAAGTCATTCAGTTTACTTTTAATTAAATAATTTTGCATTTATTGAATTGTAATGTTTAGTAACATTGAGTAATTATATGAATGTATTTCATATAATTAAGTACATAATTACATAATTTAATCATTTTAATAAAGACATGCAGATATATTAATTTCCAGTGTTGGGAAAGTTACTTTTAAAAGTAATGCATTACAATATTGCGTTACTTTCTAAAAAGGTAACTAATTACGTTACTTAGTTACTTTTTATTGAAAGTAATGCGTTACGTTACTTTTGCGTTACTTTTTAA